GGACACGCCACACCGTCCAACAGGGTATGCTCACCACACTCACCCAAGTGCTGCCGCTCAGGAGAAGCTGATCCCGGTGACGTGAACATGGGCCAGCAGGGACCACACGTGCCAGTGAAGACTGGGAATAAAGTGGCCTGTAGACGTCAGCTCTGCAGTATTTTCCCCTATGGCCAGAAAGAAGATGGACCTGAAACTCTGAAATGAATGAAATTTCCACATCATGCAATATTAGAACCCAGAATACAACACCATGAATGGCAGCTCCGCTGCCTGTGCTCAGAACCTCATCAACGGCATTCCAGCACAGGGGTCACACGCCACGGGGGACGGAGGCGGCCAGCAGCCCCTTCCAGCTCAGCGGTACCCAGGGGTGGGCTGCAGGTGGCCATATGCCCCACACGGCAGCCAGATCTCTAGGCAGGCGCTGTGCTCCCGAACCACGTACGTGAACTACTACCGTCCAGAGCAAGAGAAGATCCGGCCCTCGGACGTCGTGAACGAAGGTGCCTTTAAAACAATGGCTTGGATGCACCTTAACTCCCCCATGCGCTCTCCTGAATCAGTGCTTATGGGAGACCTCGATGACTGCGTGACATCCGGCCAGAAGGACACGATTGGGCAGGTTGTGCAGATACCAGGGAGCGGAACCACATGTGCAAAGGCCCCGGGGCAGGGGCAGCAAGGAGACCAGTGGGCAGTGGGTGCAGGGAGGGAGTGAGGGGGTGTGGGGGGGACGACAAGGAGAGAGGCCCGTGCGCCGGCCACAGTGAGGGCTCAGCAGTGCACTCTGAGTGACGCCCGGAGCCGCGGAAAAGTTCAGACCAGGAGCGACAGCGTCTGACTGAAGTTTCAAAGAGACCACTGTGCGCGCTTGGGACAGCCGCTCATCACTGCTCAGTCTGCCCGTGGTCTGCCCTCGGCCTCCGCATTCGGAAGAAATGACGACGCAGTTGTTGACAATCATCTCTGGAGACTGGGGCCCATTTCACAGCTTTCGTCCGACCAGGAGAATGGCCCCCCTCTCCGTGTCCCCACACAGCGCCCCACCCACCTCCAGGGCGCCTCGAGCTCAGGGACACTGATTACTCGTGCACACAGCTACGTCCCCAAGCTGCGAGCCCCTGGCCAGCCAAGCAATGAAGGACACATCTGCACGGCACTCACGCTGAGTCTTTATTCGCCAGAGTCCCACGGACAGAGACACACAGCTGGCGGGGGCACCCGGTCGCCGCTCTGCCCTGCACGCGGGGCTGACGGCACCATCGCGGTCAGCGGGGAGCTCTGCAAAGCCGCCTCAGGCACAGAGGGTGCCCTGGGAGGCCCCGCACCGTCAGAGCACACGCAGACCAGGCGACCCAGGCGTCGCGGAGCTGTGCCCCGGAGGCTTGGGCACCTGGGGCTCCCCGTGCCCCCCTCCTACCCTCCCACGGCGGCCCCCCAACCCTCCTCGAAACTTCGCGTCCGGCGCCAGGCACACAGGGCAGTGGGGGCCGGGGGTGAGCATCTGGCTTGAAGGAGAGGCGAGGGCATGTCTGCCATGACGGGAGCCTGGAACCTCGGGGTGCGGCTCCGGCCTGGGCGTGAGGGCCCGCGCGGCAGGACACCACACTAGGAGCGTGCCACCCGCCTCTCTGTGAAGAAGCTTCTCAGCAGCAGCACCTGGCTGGCGCTGACCACAAACAGCACGATGGTCTCGCCCACAGACCAGCAGGACACCCGGCTACGCAGGTCCTCGGCCCGGGCCCGGTCCTGGGCCTCCCGCAGCCGATAGTGCGTCTGGGACTCAATCACCGTCTTCAGCGCTTCGTGAATGGTCACACAGGCAGACTCCATCTGGGCGGGAAGAGAAGAGAGGTCACGTTGCTGACCCCGAGACAGAGTGGCACCCAGCACAGCAGATGCTGTCGGCAACATCCTAGGTCACATCTGCTGAACGCCACCTCGGGTCTGCGCGACGGGTCTGACTTAACCCTTGTAACGAGCCTAACCAGGCTCAAAGGGGGCAAGGAACTTGCCCAGAGTCACACAGGAGCGGGGGGCAGAGCTCACATCTCAGCCAGAGCCAAGCTTCCGAGCACGGCCTCGTGCCCTCACTCACGAAGGCACGCCACTGCCACGGGGAGGGCCGAGGCGGCTCAACTGGGAAGGAACCGGGGAAGATGTCGGAACCCGCATACACCGGACTCAAGACGTGCCGTTTCTACGAGACTCCCTACTGCTCCTTCCTGTCACTACCTATGGCTATGACACAGGCGCACTAAGCAAGTAAATTCATTGTATACTCCTGTCAGCCTGGTGACCCTCGGCGGACCGCTGCTGAATGTGGGGCTGCGGACTCCAAAGAGGGACTTGGAAAACGAAGACTACGGGCATTTCCGATCATGCCGCTCTCGCAGCCGAGACTCTGCTCACTGACGCATTCATCCTGACGTGCACTCATCACGTCTCCCGTCTCCCAGGCGTTGCGCGAGGCCCGGGGAACTGACAGGTGACTCAGAGTAGGACACGTCCTGGGTCTCGCAAAAGCTCGGTGAATGTGATAATCAGCATCACGCGAGAAAAGCCAAGGGCAGGGGGCCAGCAGAGCTTCAGAAACACCCCAGAGGAAGCGACCAGTCCTCCTAGGGAGATGGGGGTGGACACCCAGGAGTGACAGCTGAGCCCCCAGGGATGGGCAGGATGTCAGCAGGCAGAGGATGACGGGAGGGGCTCCAGGGAGCAGAGGCAGCAGGAGAGGCCCGGCCGGAGAGCAGAGACATGGGCAGGTGAAGCTCGCAGGAAAGGCTCTGGTAGCCATGACGCAGAGGGACTGGTGAGGACCAGCCCGGAGGCTGCGAACACTGTCGGGCGCCACACTTCTACGGGGAAGAAAAGCTGAGGGCCCCGATTAAGGGCGACAGGCTGGGGAAGATGAGGGGGGTGCGACAGACTCACGGGGCTGGCAGGTCATTCCTGACACGAGCGGGCTGGGTGGAGATGCCCACACGTGGACACGTGGACACGCGCCTTCTCCCCTCCCGCCAAAACCCAAGGTGAGCACTGCACTCCGTGGGAGGGGGCCCCGGCCCGGGCAGTCAGCGGTCCAGGTTGGCACTCCAGCCTTCCCGCGAGGTCCAGAATCACTGGAGGAGGAGGGGCAGGGAAGAGGAGTGGAACGGAGGGAGGAGACAGAAACCACGGTGCCAGCACCCCGGGCAGAGGGGACGTCACATGCGCCACGTGAGGCGTTGCTTTACAGGCCTGAACCAGATGCCACAGGCCAGAGTCCCACCCAGGGACACTGTAATAACCATAGAGTGACAAACGGTTAGTAAACTAGCTCATTGTGGTGACTGCTTCACACGGTGTATCAACGTCTGATCGCTACGCTGTACACCTGGATCTAACATAACGCCGTTTATCAACTGCACTGAAAAATTCTAAGACCCGAGACACCCTGGCTCCCTCTCGAGTTGGTGGCAGGGAGGGCACCTGTAGGCTGTTCGCCCCGGTATTGGTTCTGGTGCCGGGAGACGTGGCTGCCGGCCCAGCGCCGTGCTGGACGGGGTCTGGCGAGAGCAAGACAACAGCTACGCACGACGATGGCCGGCGGGGAGCAGAAGGCAGGCCTGTCCGCCTGGGCCCCGCACACCGTGCCCCTGCCCCCGGCCTGCTGACACACTCCTGGGCTGTAACCGCCTCTCTCACTTTTAAGCCAAACTCGGCCTGTGAAGACTTCCATGACTATGCTGGCAAAATGCAGGGACCCTCCCCTGAGGAGCCTTGCCTGTGTCGCAGCTCTGTTCAAGGGTCCTGGGCTCAGTGGTCACGGGCTCATATTGCACACGATGCCCCCGAGGGCAGGGACAGTGCCACTCCACCTCACGCTCACACCACCGGCAGTGTGGGGACCAAGCGCCCACCGGTGCAGACGAGAGCTTGACACACGCGAGAACAACCCGCTCAAGGCACAGGCAGCAGAGGGACGCGTGGAAGGAACCGACTCCCAAGAGATTCGGCAGGAGGTGGCGCAGGTCGCTCCTCCTGCCACGTGGGCCTTCCCACGCACGGCCGCGGGTCACCTGCCACGACTGAGCACTACAGGTGCCTCTGTACGGCAAGTGAGGAGGTGAAGCTTACTTTAAAGCACCGCACGTGGACAGCAGATACCGCACTGGAACACGCAGCACTGAGCCCCCTCTGCCCCCGGACGTGGAAGACTGAGCACGCAAGCCCACGGCGAAAGCCACCGGCGAATGGAACACGTGGCCACCCTGGAGGGCAGCCCGGGAGGCATGTGGCCTCGCAGTGGTCTCAGACGCTCTGGCTTTGCTCGTGGACCAGGTGCAGCCAAAATGGCCAGCCCTGTCCTGCGGGTCTCTCCGGGCCCTGCCACTCGGGCACCTGGCAACTACTCAGTGAACTCCCATCCTGAGCCACGCCCCACGCACCAGGGTGCTGGGGACACGCTGGGGACACAGGGAATAAGGCCAGGCCTCTGTGTGGGAGGAGGGAAGGCGGGGCTTAAGTAGCAGGAGAGAAGCCTGACGAAGGCAGCTGGGACCCAGTCATAATTGACCCGGAGAGGCACAGGGGCAGAGCTGAGCATCTGTTCTCCAAAGATGTCATCATTTCTCTACCGAGCATGGAGTTGTTGCCAGGTGTCTGCCAGCCCCGCCCCCCGTTCCCGTCACCTGGACGGCCACACAGCCCTTCTCGACCGTGGGGTGTGAGTGGAAGTGACATGTCTTGCTTCCGGCCAGGGTGTTTAGGAGCGGGGAGGGGGGGCTTTCTCACTCTCTCCTTCCTCTGGTGGCTAGAAGCAGAAGGCGCTCAAGGACAGCAAGGTGACAGGAGAGAGCTGGGATCCCTCAGCCACGCCACAGAGAGCCGCCGCCCCCACCTGACTCCACGTGCTCATTTCGCTGAGGAAGACACTGTCGTGCTAAGCCACTGATGTTTGGGTCTGCGTGTTACAGCAGCTTGTTACCCTAATCGGTACCTGTACAGAGCGGGACTTTGGCCTTGACGATGCAGACACGTCCCATCAGCAGCAGGGCACGTGCTATGGGCTCTCCGGACTGCTGCTGTGAGCCGGCCCGAAGCAGGGAGCAAGGGACACCAGAGGGAAGCCCAGCAGGGATCCAACCAAAGACTGGAGAGGACGGTCAGGAGGACACGGTGGCCTTTAGGACCGGACGTGACAACACAGGCAAAGCCGGTACACACTGCAGACTGGGAGCTGGGTAGATGGTGACTGCTCACGAGCCACAACGAGGACAGCAGAGGAGGAACAGGCCAGGGGTGTCTGCCAGGACCGTCCGTCAACGCCCACTCACCTGGGTGAGAGCTGTGACCCTGTTCCCCATGTCTGGGAGTATGGGGGGCTCGTCGCCCACTTGAAAGTCGAAATAGACGGTCTTGTGAGAGAAGGTGGAAAACTCGTTACTGAAACAAAACTGATACACGCCCTTGACCTCAGCCCGGTGCGTGAAGCTGTCATACTGCTTCTTGGTTTCCCGGTAGATGGTGTTCCCCAGGGGGTCCTCCACATAGCAGTCGACGTCGTAGTGACCTCCAGTGATGACCTGACAACCACAAAACACACAGTCTGCTGTTACCAGAGGCCAAGCACCAGCACCAACGGCCGGCCGGGCGCCGAGACTGACTTCACAGACATCTTCCCACTTGACTGAACTTCATAACCTTCTAAAGTGACACTGCCACTTCAGAGCATGACTCCGAGGCCAACAGGCGTTAAGTCTGTGGGCCATGAAAATACGGCTCGAAAGGGACAGGCTGAGGTCTGAGATCTGAGTCCCAGGCCACCTGACTCCGGAGGTTCTGCTCGGCAAGAGCATTAGGAGCCTCCCCCTGCCCGTTTACACGACAGGAAACTGAGGTCGGCGGTTACGCCACCCAGTGAACGGTCTACTAAGTGTCAAGGTTATCACGAGGGGACGGAGGAGAAGGCGAAGGCAGACAAGGCAGTCACAGACAGAGTCTGCCACCGTCCCAGCTGGGAGAGTCCCGGGATCACTGTAAGAAAGGCTAAGACCTACACAGGGCGAAACCACACAGGGGTCCATGGCTACACCCACGGGCCATTGAAGGACACAGTCCGCGGCCCCCAAAGTACAGAAGGTTCCCTGCCCAGGAGGAAGGTGCCTGGGGAGCAGGGTGCTTCCGGAGGCCAGCAGTGCCGGAGCCCATGTGAGTGCTCCTTGGCAGGGACTCCCAACCCAGCACTGGCCATATGGCCTCTCGGTCTCCGCAGCCTCACAGCGGGCATCTTCCTGGCTGATCAGACCTAGGCTGCGCCCACTCGACCCAGCCACAATTTGCACATTGTCCACAGAGGAGTGTAAATGGCCGAATGGAGGGCTGGGAGACCACCATGCACGCATGAGCCTCTCTGAGTGGCTTTCGCCACAGAGAGCCAGGGCCCTTCAATGGGACAGCCCCACTCCTGCTGCTGATGCCACACGGTCTCTGGAACGCCAGCGGCACTGTCCAGGTGCACATGGATTCCAGGTATGACTCCCACTCAGTCCCCCATCGCCAGATCTGCTGACCCTTAGGGGCAGCTCCCTCACCCAGGACGGGCTCCCCAAAACTGTGAGCCCCGAGGTCTCTCAAAGGAGCCAGGGGTACAGGTGCAGGGGGGGGGAGCTTTCTTGAGCCATATGGCAACAGCCACACCTTGCGGCCACGACACTGCTCCCGGTAAACACTGAGGGCTCCAGGCCTGCCCTGAGACGCCCTTTCCAAAGCGCCCGTTCTCATCGCTTCCGCGCTCACCCCGACAATGGCTTAAACGCTGGAGGGGGGCGGTTAAACCACAACCCCACTTCCTCTAGGAGCCATTTATTCAGGACGCACCGCGCCGAAGGACAGCGCAGTCCAAGAGCCGCGGGGCAGACAGCCCACGCCCCAGCTGAGCAGAGGCGGCACTCCTGAGTCCAGGGCTCGCGAGGCCGCCCCGGCCGTCCCCACGCCGGCCCCGAAACACACCTGCCAAGGGCGGAGCGAGCGCGCACCTGGTAGTCCAGGGAGAACCTGACGCCCTGCTCCACCTGCTCGTGGAAACACTGCTTGGCGTTGTCCGGCAGCTCGAAGGTGAGCTCGGCGCCCTGCGGCCGCTCGAGCCCAAGCAGTAGCAGCAGCAGCAGCAGCGGCGGCGGCGGGTGTGGGGCCGCGCGGCCCATGGCGCTCCGGTCCCCGCGG